CCCCAAAACCCCAAAACCCCAAAACCCCTAGTTTAAAATATATAATTGAATAACTAAATTGGCGGCAATGGAAGACCTCAAAGAGTTTTCACTAGGGATCGGCAAAGAGTTCATACCCTTCTTTGATACCAAAGAAGACCAAGTTGATAACGAGAGTCAGGAAGAGCCTGATAATGAAGAAGATTACCAATTCAAAGCTTCTACAGCATCTTTTGAATCTTTGCTTAACCAAAAAGAGGGGGAAATGGATGAAGAAACTGAGAAAGGATATTCTGCTTCTAAAGATCATATTAACGACGTCACAGAGCTTTCCTCTTACAGTAAAGAGCTAGTTCAGGACCAGATCTCTAAAATTAAGTCTCTAGAACAAGAGCTTCTGTCAGGAAAGCAAAACAATTACTCTGAAATTCCTTCTTCAGAAGAGTACCACATAAAAGACAAATCGAGTCTATTGAAGACCTATAAAGATCAAAATGAAAACTACAAGTCTCAGATAAGGTCTCTAACCAGACTGCTTGAGGAGCAAAAGACATTCTACACAAGAATGACCCAAGATGCGAGTAAATCTGAATCTGAAAATCTCACACAAATTGCAAACTTAATGAGCACTCTTCACAACATGACTAATGAAAATTCTTTTCTCAGAAATCAATGTGGAGAACTTGAAAGGAGATGTTGCCAGAAGGACGAAGAGCTCTCTCTCCAAGCGCAGACTCTAAGAAGGAAAGCTAAGGAGCTCAAGGATATCAAATCTTCTGAAACTGGTAAAATGGAGTCGATCAATAAGAAAATTAATAAAGTAAAGCAAAGATCTGATGGTAAGTGCTTCTATTCTGATCCAACTAGAGCAAGAGAGTAAGATTATCAGTATTAACAAGTCCAAGAAGTCTCTCCAAGCCCAGCTTGCTCAATGCAAATCTGAGCTCTCTGATCGGATTCAAGAGTTTAATACAGTTAAAGAGAAGGAAATCTCCTTGATTGAGAAGCTCAGGAAGGAGATAGAGAAACTAAAGAAAGACAACAAGGAGCTATTGGCGAAGAATGATAAATTAAGAGAGGATAAAGATAGAAGAGAAGCTATGCAGAAGAGAGTCTCCGAGTGAGCTGTGAAGATGGAGAAGATAAATAAGGAAATTGATCTAGAGCGTAAGAAAAGCTCCAGGCTGACTAAAGAAAATACTGGTTATAAGAAGGAAATTGATGTTCTCAAGGAGAAGATTAAAGGTGAAAATCATCCTGATAGTCTTAAGGCCAAGATTCATGATCAGTCTACTAGGATTGCAAACCTGAGAAAGGACAACTCCAGCAAAGCTAAGGAAATTTCTTCGTTAGTTAGTAAGGTAGAAAAAGCTAATTTTGACATTAAACAAATCAGTGATTACCTTACATCTGAGTATAAGTGCCTATCTACTTGGATTGAATCCTGCCTGAACAGTAAATACGTCTTTTCAATTTCAAACAGTTCTAAAAATCCTGAAAAATATTCATTGCCAAAATGAATAGATTTTCCTAAAATTATTGATCAGAAGCCAGATATCTTGAAGGAGAAATCTAAGTTCTGCAAAATCTCTGGAATTCCAAAACAACTAGAATCTCTCAAGAAACTGCTAAGGAAGTCACAAGTGGAAATTATTGAATCAGCTGCTAAGATCATCGAAGATAATGCTACTTTGCAGGAAAATATCCGTGAAACTAACCAGTTCAAGTCTGAGATATCGAAAGATTTTGAAAATCTCAAAATGTCGCTCATCACTACTGAAAAATCGATCACCCATCTCAATTCAGAGAAGGATGATCTTGTTGATGAAACACAGAAATGGAAGGAGAAATTCACTGCTGTTGAGAACCAATATAAAAACATATCATCCGAGTACGATAGAGTCCTTCTAGACATCCTTTTCTCTCTTGAGACTGCAAGGAAGAGGTATGAAAACACCGAAAATCTGAAAGAATCTACCTCAGATTTCATCAGTGATCCCCTACTTGCAAAAATTCAGAAGAATCTAGAGAGCCCATCTAGTGAAGATGGACTGAAGCGTTCAGATCGTAAAGCAGGCATTATAAAATATATCGGATGCTTTGACCAAATCATTATCTCATTGGCAGGAGATTTATCACAATCTGATCAAACTTTGCAGAAAATTCCTCAGTTGCAGAACCAAGTTAAAGAAACTACTAAACAATTGGAACAAGCTGAAGTAGATTTTGCTAATGAAAGAGAAGCTCTTGAGAAAGCTCATTTTGAAGAAAATACCCTCAAGGCTCAAGAAATGGAAAGTCTAAATGGAAACTACCAGAACAAAATTAGGCTGATGCAAGAAGAGCTTAGTGCCCAGGAAGAGTTAGTGCAGTCAAAGTGCGAAGAAATTGCAAGCCTAAGTTCAGACCTTTCTCAGCTTACAAAGCAAATCCATTCACAAATTGATTTATCGAAGGATTTGAAGCAACTAGCAACAGCTGGACACCAGAAAGTAACTAGTTTGGTATTCCAAAAGGGTGTCTTGAAAGATCAACTGCATGAACTCCAGCAATCATACAAGAAGACGACATCCTTCTTAGAAAGAGTCTACTGCAAGATTAGAGAAATAAACCTCGGAGTTCAAGGAGAAGAAGTTACAAATAAAGATAAAGAAATAAAGACAGTCAGCCCACTCTTTAAATTCAGAAAATCCGTCCTTGCTATCATCGCAGTCAACAGAATTAAGAAATTATTCAAGACTCAATGCTTAGGAAAGTACGATTTGGAGTGAATAGATAGTATCAAGGTAGCAGAATTTGGAGAAAATGAGGAAATGTTTATCTCTCAAGGCTATCAACTTCCAGAATACGATACAGAAGATAATCAAAAGTGATTTAAATTCGAAAATAACAGCATTGAAAAGTCTCTGAGCATTACCCCTATTAAACCATCTCAGGATGAAAGTTGTTGTAAGAATCTCAAGACTTCCTTCCAGAACCCTTCAGTATCCTCAAATTCGCACTATAAATCTTCTTTATCTTTGAAGCGTCCTTGTGCATCTTCAGACTTATTCCCTTATATCTCAAAACCGAACGCTTCTTGAACTTTTGCGAAGACAGGCCTTGGGGAGACCACTGCTCAAAAATCTCCGTATTATACTGCACTGATAAGACAACTTGACCTGGCTTTGAAGACCCTTTTCTCAACAACAAAGTCTGCTAAGAAGCAACTGAAATCTAGCCAATCTAAGGCGAGCTCCTTGGAGACCAAAATTTCTACCCTTGAGGAAGAACTATTGGAATCAATGCAAAAATGAGATGGATTCCAAGAAAAGTTGAACAAGGATGTTAAGAGTAAGCCACCACCAAAGCTATTTATACTCTATAAATTTACACTTAGTGAAGCCTATATTTGAGTGTTTAAAATACAAATTTACTAATTGTCTCCTTTAAGCTTCTACTAGTATTGTCAAACTCATGTTGACCAAACCTGACTTGACAATTATTATTCAAACTCTTTTATAATAATCTCAACTAATTTAGAGCAAGAAGAACTTGGTGAAAAACTGGTCCAATCAGAACACAAAATCGAACAGCTAAAAGTTCGGATCCAAGACCTCCAAGCCCTCAATGAGAACATTGAGGACAAGAAGTGAAGACTCAGCAAGGAAGTTGTAAAATCTGAGGTAAAAACCCTGCCTTCATACAAATTATGGCATTTTGAGCCTTAAGAAGTGCTTTGGCTACCTTTTCTTTTAGATCAAGATAAAGCACCTACAGAGAGAAATAGAGATGAAAGATATGCAGATTGAGAACCTGAAGACACTGTGTGTTAAGAACGAGCAAGATTTTGAACAAGTTAATGGAAATTGGACAGAGTACGTATAGAGATATTTTAAAAATGATTAAAAGTTGTTTAGCATGATGCATAAGCTGAAGAAGATGGAGTTTGAAAAATCTAAGCTTGTTAGTGACAATGTGAAGCTTCTGAATGAAAATGAGGGGTTGCGTAAGGAACTCCTGAATGTGACTTTCAGGCAGGATAGCAGTCAGGAATATTCTTCAGTTCAAACGTAGGTTGTTGTATAACTGTCTAGAGATTACAAGCATCAACCAATGCACAATTATCCAAGTCAAAACAAGGAGAATATTAACCAGAATATTCAGCATGATCCTTCTGAGAATTCTCCAACTTCTTACAGGAGGAAAAGAACTGCTCATTTCCCAAATATCAAACCAGAAGTATATGAAAATAGTGAAAAATATCATGGTGGAGACAGCAGAAGAGGTAGAGAACGGAATAGGGAAGTATTTGGGCACGAGGTAGAATCTGAGGAATTTAATCAAACCTCCTCAAAATACGATGACTATGGAAACTCTCCTCCTGAGTATCCTCCAAAGACTTACAGTTACCTGAATAGCAATGCTGACCAGAATTCTCCCCAAAATAGCTCACCAATTACAACCCCTCAGAAATCCGAATCGGAATTTGAGTTTTGAGCTAGTCTCAAAGATTCCTCCCATTCACCTCCTGAGTTGCAATAATTATTCGAATAATTTGTTAGATCCTAAGCTTACAAGTCTTAGCTCATTCATGTTTTAAAACAAAATTCGAAATATATTTAGGTAGATTGCATAAGTTTATTCCCCAAAAATCGTATTTATATCCTTTCAACCATTGTCTCTTATGATGGGGTTTTGGGGTTTTGGGGTTTTGGGGTTTTGGGGTTTTGGGGTTTTGGGG